TTCAATAAACATCTACCAGACTACACGGTGTCAAATTGCGGTTTAGGGAAACAGTCGCTGTTTAATGTGGAAATCATACGGAACACAGAAATATATTCTGTGGGTAGAATGCACAGCTCTGGTACCTGAAATGTTTATACATATTCTAACCAGTGAGTTTTAAATTGATAATCTACTGTAATTTAAATGTCATTATTAAAAATATGGAAGTAAAAAAGAAATAATCTCTTCTTCTAATGAATATTGTTTTTCGACATGAAATTAGTTTTTCCCCCAAAAGTTCTGCAGACGTAAGTAACAGAAACTTCTGTACTTAGCACCATCTGCACGCTTCCTGCTCCAACTAATAGTTGCAGAACCAGAGTAGAGGGGATACGGGGAACAGAACTTGAAGATCAAATGGAAACTCATTCTCTCTAAACCGATTGTCCATAAAGCCTTAATTTTTGTTTAATTAAAAGATGCGTTCCGAAATTTGAAAGGTAAACTCGTAAGCGCCTGTCACGTTAGCCGAGCGGTCTAAGGCACGCGCTGTCTTCGCTCCCTCGGAAGCCGGGATCGTGGTTTGAATCCTACACAAGGCATGGATATTTGGTATGTGTGTTTGTTCTATGTTTGTGTTGTCCTGTGTTTAGGTAGAGGCCATGCGACGAGCTGATCACTTTTCCAACGAGTCCTACCGTCTGTAAAATGATCATGGTAATCTTTAAAGTAGAGGTGTTTCACTTTGACGAATTCGAGTCGGAAGGGCCGTATGAGACCCACGCAGTAGCAATTGGGAACTTGGGACCCATCTCATTATTTGTCTGTAGGCAGAGTAGAACTATGGCAACCTTTACGGAAATGGTTAAATTGCATCTAAATAATATATATGGTGTCAAGTAATAGTGCCTAGACTGGGGGGTAATTGGTTTAATTGGACTCTTGTGGCTGGAAATGATTGTAACTCTTTCACTTATTCACGCAATCGTCCTCTCACAACAATCACAAAGTCTTCTTAGTTTATTTTCACTAGTCATTTTCTAATAATGGACCCCAACAATGTCCTTATGTTCACGTCGTTACCGGCTGGCGACAATTTCGCGCCTACCAAAGTCAAAGTCACTTTAAGACCGACGGTCAGTCGTCCAGTCTGTCTCGGTGTCAAGCCCCCATCTGGGTCTCAAAACCCGATTTTTATTACTGTCAGGCAGTTGCGGGTTTGTCGTTTTTAATTGCTGCACATCCTCGTCAGCGCAGTGACTTTGGTTTCCAAATCCCACAGGACTCATGACCATATTTTACACTATCAGATTCAAGACTCCCCCACCTGGTGAGTCAGGTTCCCGTATTTATATCCCCCAGGAAGAGGGTGGCCCGGTTATACCCCCAGGCACTGGGTTTCCTTTTCGTCGCTTACTACGACTCGCAGGGCTACGGTGGAGGTATTCGAACTGGATCCCACGCGGGGACACTCACATCTACCGACGTTCTCCTTATATAGACTCGGGAGAACCCAATAGTAAACATCGCTCCCAGCAGTCCTCTGTTGTGGCGTCACGTGTTTGTTGGCGCGGAAGCGTCCCTTCTGCCTCCACTATTCCTATCTTCTAGCTGCCATGTCACAACATCAGTTCACTTTCGTACGTCACAGAAAAGACATGAAGATTCCCGGTTGGAGGTGGGTTCGAATACCTCCATCGCATCCCTACGAGTCGTAACAGGCAAACGAAATTGAACCCAGTGCCTGGGGGGTATAATCGGGCCACCCTGTTCCTGAGGGATATAAATACAGGGACCTGGCCCTCCAGGTTGGGGGAGTCTCGAGTCAGAGGAAGTAAAATATGGTCAGAGTCCCGCGGGAGTCGGGCCCAAGAATGACTCCGATGGCGAGGACCAGCAACAATTGCAAACAACAGACCCGTCCTCTAGTCAGAAAGGATGTTACATAAGGGCTTTAACCGCAAGTGTTCAGTTAATAAAATGAATTGTCGTGAGTCTCAAAAGGCTTCGCGCCAAACAAACTGATTGGCAGTAAACCGCCAGCCATAAAGTAATTCAGACTATGAGGAAATACTGGCCATCACCATTACAAAGGCCAACCAACCGATCCTTCTAAGAGAGAAATAATCACGGTGTGTGGGCAGAATGAAAATATTTTAGTGAAAAAGAAGTTGGCATGTATTGTGGCGCATAGACTGGTTACTGGTTGGAGAGTTGCATAATGAGGCGTTTCATAACTTGTGAGCTTCGTTAAGTAAAAGTAGAATGATCAAGTCAAGGAGGATGAAATGGGCAGGGCATGTAGCACCAATGGGGAGAAGAGGAATGCAAATAGGTTATTGGTGGGAAAACAAGAAGTAAAGAGACCACTAAGAAGACCAAGACGCAGATGGGTGGACAATATTAAAACGGATCGTAGTTACATAATGGGGTGGTATGACTGGATCGATCTGGCTGAGGATAGGGACCAGTGAAAGGCTCTTGTGAACACGGTGATGAGCCTTTGGGTTCCCTGAGTGCATATTTTAGTGTATAGAGAACAGGGTGTTGAGAATATTTGGGCCGAAGAGAGATGAAGTAACAGGAGGTAGGAGAAAACTGCACAATGAGGAGCTTCATAACTTGTACTCTTCTCCAAATATAATTAGAGTGATCAAGTCAAGGGGATGAAATGGGCAGGGCATGTAGTACGAATGGAACGAAGAGGAATGCATGTAGGATATTGGTGGTCAGAAAGAAAGAGACCACTGCAAAGACCAAGGCGCAGGTGGATGGACAATATTAAAATGGATCTTAAAGAGATAGGATTGGATGGTATGAATTGAATTGATCTGGTCCAGGATAGGGACCGGTGGAGGGCTCTTGTGAACATGGTAATGAACATTCGGGTTCCATAAAATTCTGGGAAGTCCTTGAGTAGTTTCACAATTGGCGGCTTCTCAAGCAGGGCTTAGCGCCATGAGTGAGTGAGACCCATTACTAAGCAGTGACTCTATAAAGAGGGGCCGTCCTTAGGTAACGTCCGCAACATACACGCACGAAAAAAGAAGAACGGCGTTTTCTTAAGGCCGCGCCGCCGCCGTTTCTGCGCAACAGCTCAGTAAACACGTTCCCGCGGCAAGAACACGAAAGCAAGAATAGAAAAACCATGTTTTTTATGTGGTGCATGCCAAGAATTTATAACCAGGAGAGTTGGAGCAATGAGTACAGTTCTGTATGAGATGCTGGGAATATAGGACCTGAGAGGGTGAAGCTGAAGAATCTCCATTGTTAGATGCCGTTGCCAGAGAAAAGCTGGTGAAAACACAGAAGGCTGGAAAAAGCTTAGCGGATGCTTTTGTGATTTATGAATTGTAGAAATTAGAGGTGGCGCTGTAATTGCTTGTGGTTCCAAGTTATGTGTATAAGTGGTCAGTAAATCCATTGACCAATCCAAACCCCGTCTATAGTCACCCATACTCGTGACAATACATTAAATCAACTAGCATGATTCACCAGAGAAGACAACCGAAGAGATCGTGACATCACAGAAACATAGAAAGCCACGAATGCCGTTCAAGTGATAAAGGTGCATCAACAGAATTGGAAAATTCTTTTGTAAGAGAGAAACTACCTTTCGCAGCAACATTTAGTCCCAGAGCGGGGGGATGACGACACTCGGGACGACCATATGGACGAAGGTCACCTTTTGATGCATGGAAATGGATCCTAATGAATTAGCCATACAACGTTCATAATGATACTTCATGGCGATTATGATACTGTCATATGTTTGATTGTGATTCTCGATGGGATTTGGATTGGATATTGGATTTATTGGCCACTTTACCATACAACTCGTAATTACACTTAATTATAGCGCCATCTACAGTGTACTCCGGCAAACGCTAAGTCTTTCACAGCCTTCAGTGTCTTCATTAGACGTTTCCTTGTAACGTCTTCTAACAATGGTTATTCCTGTGTTTTCGTGCCTAAGTCATTTCTGAACGGCGGCTCCCTTCCAATTGAACTATTCTTCAAAGTCAAAGTTATATTACGACCGACGGTCAGTCGGAGTCTGTCTTGGAATAGAGCACTCATCTGGGGCTTAGGGCCACATTTTTATTACTGCCACATATTTGCAGGCTTGTTGATGTAGGGCGCTCTCTCTGACGAGAGGACGGGCCTGTCGTTTTCCAGATTCACAGTCAACAGTAATAAGTCTATTGTCAGTGTGTTATAAATTACATTTTAAACGTTATTAAATGTATGTATATACAACATATACAATGTGTATCCTTGCTCCTTTTGTCCTTCTTATAACCCTTCGGCACGGACCACCGCAGAAAACCGCGTTTCCAATAGCATCCCTGTTTCTTTGCGACCGTTGCCCACAAACGGCTCTGCACGGTTCTCATAGTGGCTACTATGAAAGCATTGCGTTGTGGGATGTAATACCGTGTAGTTGGGTAGAAGTTAACCAATGTTTCGACTGGTTCTTGGATTCCCCCTCGACTCTGAATATAGATGTAAAACGTTCCTTCGATTAGGTAAAATGTTACAGGACTACACGGCGTCACTTACCAGACAATTGCGCTTTTCAAGTCACCGCTATAAGGGCCTCAAACCAATTAAAACTTTTACTTAATTTATTATTCGGTCAGCTAACACCACATGTTTCATGCGAAGCTAACAGTTGCTCATCTGGCGAAGAAATTCCAGGGATTTTTTGGTTGTCATAATTAGAATCTTATGTGGGGTAACGAAACACTGTCGTGTCCTGTTACGCACAGCAGAAATACAAAATTTCGTAATGTGGGTGTCAAATTACCGCGTGGGAGTTCATCAGGACAATTTTGAGTAACAAGTGGTTAAGCGATTTTGATTTGCAGCGATGTGACGGTAGTGGGGACACTTACGCATGCGCGCGTCGCGTTGTAACAGGAGCAGTTACGCCTCCCCCACTTCTGTCTACTCAAGAGGACGGGGTTTGCCGAATATATATGTATATAAAAAGATATTTCAGTGTGGCGGATATCAGAACACGCGTGGCTGTCAGACAAGACGAAGCAACAGCATCACAGCACAAGACCAGACTCGTGAGAGCTCCCATTAAAGGTAAGCATCAACACGTACTGACTCCTGTCTTGTCAGCAGTGAAATATATTTCATGTAACATTTATTTTATTTACGTTCTTTACACAACAATTGAAAAGAGCAATATTATTAAGAACTTTATCTTGCGAAACGCGACGAGGAGCAAACATCAGAAAACTGAGCTCTGTTTCTTTATTGCTGATTATTTGATTAATTCTTCGGCCCCGAAGATGGATGCAATAATTTCCCCCGAAACATCGGTAAGATCCTACCGTGCTACATGTCCTTACATCCTATTCTTGGCAGTCCCTCAAATCCAACATCTTTATTCTAATTTTAACGATATACATTCTTTTGTTTTTGTTTACATTGTGACATTTTGTGCTAAAACTTATCAGATGTCTGAGGCTCTATCGGACGAAAATTGTTAAGAATATGGCATTTCGATAGTTTAGGTTGTGAAACGGGGAGTTAGGGCACAACGCTCCAGGAACAGCATTTATTTATTTTATTTGGAACGAAGAGAGATGAAGTAACGGGAAGTTGGAGAAAAATGCATAATGAGCAGCTTCATAACTTGTACTCTGCTCCAAGTATAATTAGAATGACCAAGTCGATGAGATGAGAATGGCATATAGCACGAATGGGGACGAAGAAGAATGTGTGTGTAGAATATTGGTGGGAAAGCCAGAAGGAAAGAGATCATTAGTAAGACCAAGACATAGGTGGATAGATAATATTAAAATGGATCTTAAAGAGATTGGATGTCGTGGAATAGACTGGACTGATCTGGCTGAAAATAGGGACCAGTGGAAGGACCTTGTGAACATGGCAATAAACCTTCGGGTTCCATAAAATGCTGGCAAGTTCTTGAGTAGCTACACAACTGGAGGCTTCTCAAGAAGGGCTCAGCTCCATGAAGTTAATTTACTTAACGACGCCGTCAATACTTCAGACTGTACGGCGTAAATTGTCAGGATGAGTTAGGAATAATGTGAAAGGAGGCCACTGTCGCCTAATTTCAGATACTGTCAGATTTTGTTAAGAGCTACTGAGGAAAAGCACCAAAACCTGTCAGAATATCCGGTATTAGGGCCAAGAAAAAAAGATCAGTGACGTTCTGACGATAAAGCAGGCGTTCTTTCCACTGTCAGAGACTAATATTTACAGCGCAAATATACAGAGTGGTGCAAATCGCAAAGACAAATTTTATAATTTGCATGTATATTTCTTTATTCTTCCTGTGCGTGAATGTGCAAGGTTGTCATCTTGAATACTCAAGTCATGAAGGTGTATGTATTTTTAAGACTCTAAAGATATTTATAAGAGAAGTTAAACAACATGGCGCGATTAGTGAATATCTCCTAGTTCAATGTAGAACTTGACTCTCGAACACGTGTATAATTACTGGGAACTGTCTAAGCATAAAGTTGAAGTTTTCCCTGTGCTTAACTAATTAAGCACTACTCCATGAAGGCGTATGGCGAAGTGGATGTACAAATCCACATATTCTTGATCTCGGAACTAGCTGGAGGTGAGTGGTCAGCTTCAAGACCCTGCCGCTTCACCCCCGGGGAACGAGTCCCTGGTACCCTTGGATAGGAGGTTGGGTGGACCCCAGAACGAGACTCGACAGGTGGCGGTTCCTGGAGACGATATCGCTGAAGAAAAATTTCAAAATTAACGGCCCACAACATCTTTGAGGTTACTACCCCTAAAACACTAGCATAAACGTAGACACCCTAGAAGAAAACTTGTAAAATAAAAGTAAAGTTACTAAGATCTAAAATATCTGAGTAAAGTTGTCCCTGAGCGTAACTAATTAAACACTATGCCATGAGGACGTATGGGGGAGTGGATGTATAGATCCACATATTCTTTATCTCAGCATTAGTTGCAGGTCAGCTTCACGCCCCCGTCGCTTTACCCCCGGGATATATTCCCCTGTACACATTTCATATGAATCTGGTTATCCCTAGAGACGGTCTGGACGTTCATAGGATAAAAATCTTGCCCATACCGGGAATCGAACTCCGATCTCTTGGTCTTCCAGCCCGTAACTAGTCGCTATACCGACTGAGATATCCCGGCTCGGAACTTAATTCTCTAATAGCCTTATGATATACAATAAGAATGATTCTATTTGTATCTGTCAGATGTAAACGCACATTGTGAGGATTTTAGAAATGTCCATAAAAACAACAGACAACAGTGTGCGATGGAAGTGCTGAAAATGAGGTCTTCTTTCAGCCCTGACAAGCTGATCGCGTTCCCTGAGGGTACGGTTACCACAGTTTGAGAAACGCTGTCCTGAATTGCGACATTAACACGCGACTCCAATACAAAGAACAACAGACTGGCACGATCGCTCTCTGCTCACAACACTGCATCCACGCTCCTTGGTTTCTTACTGAAAAGAGACTGTGCACTGTAATCCGCCTGAGGACATATGTTTAGGCTACATGCAATACTAAATAGTCGGAGAAGTTGCCTCCCGATTACGGCTGAACTCGATAGAATAAAGAGATCCCAGAGATATGAAATCCTGTCTTCTTCACGTTTCAACTTCTCTCGTCTTCCTACAGAACTATTTCATACAGTTTAATCATCGCCTTCTCCTTAGGAACTTGATGGTCACGGGGTCACGGCAACATTTGTGCAGCTACAAAAAAAAAAATTAAGAAACCTCCGATCGAAATGGACTTCATTCGGTACTCGGGACAGGGACTGTGTTTCTTGTGAGAAAGGCAGCAAATCCCGTGGAAATTCTTGAGTAGTTACACGACTATCAGAGTCTCCAAGACTATTTTCCATGCAGAATATTAGGGTTTATACTGAGAAAGAGACATCTCACTGTTAAGTGATTGTGACTTGCTTTTCTAAAGCATTCATCAGATAAGGGCCGCCTATTTTACCTGATGAAGGGAACAGATAGTTACCGAAACGTCATGATGTTGGTATAAATACGATTTCCATACAACTGTTGGCATTTCTTAACTACATGATAAATTATTTGGTTCTCAAAAACAAATTTTCTGATTGGAATTATTTAATTGAAATAAGATTATATATTCAATATACAGGGCACGCGGTAGCGAAGTTTGTTGAGGCGCTACACTACAAGCCGGAAGGTCGCGGGTTCGATTCCCGATGAGGTCACTGGATTTTACAATTTACCTAATCCTTCCAGCCATATTGTAGTCCCTGGGGTCGACTCGTCCTCTAACAGAAATGAGTACAGGAATCTGCCTGGGGGTAAAGGGCGACCGGTGCGTAAGGCTGACAACCTCACCGCCGTCTGTGAGCCGATTACCTAGAAAATGTGGGAGCCTCGACGTCTCACAACCCTATGGGCCACCACGGCCTGTTACAGAGATGGTTGTACTTAAACCAAGCGCCATCTGTGAGCCGATTGTCTAAAAAATTTGGGAGCCTCGACGTCTCACACTCCTATGAGCCTCCACGGCCTATTACAGGGTAAGCTTTATTTAACCTCACCGCCAACTGTGAGCCGACTGTCTAGAAAATGTGGGAGCCTCGATGTCTCACAATCCTATTGGCCACCACGGCCTCTTACAGGGCCAGCGGCACTTAACTCAACCGCCATCTGTGAGCCGACTGTCTAGAGAAAATGTGGGAGCCTCGACGTCTCACAACCCTATGAGCCTCCATGGCCTGTCTCAGGGATAGTTTTACTTAACCTCACCGCCGTCTGTGAGCCGACTGTCTAGAAAATGTAGGAGCCTCGACATCTCACAGCCATATGTACTTCCAAGGCATATTACAAGGATAACTTTACTTTTTACCTTTTATTCAATATACACAGTGATTTTAAATTTTCGTGCCCTATAAACGGAAAGCCCGACGATAATATATAATTACCTTATATTTTTGACATTTTAATTACTTCAGATACGATACATTTTATATCAAACACTTCTGAAAATTCAGTGGGAGTGGGAAATTACGAAGTCCACTTAGACGAAGTGCCCAGTCTCCCCAAGTTGAAAACTTCAGGAAATGTAGCTACTTCTGCACTCGACAGAACAGCAATACTCACTAAATAGTAAAGCGCGCACTGCGAAATACCGGTCACTCTTGGCATCTTCTGCTCCTGTTCGCAACTACTCGCTAACACGAACAGAGTAGCGAATGAAGAACAAACGTTAGCCTATTATATATACGTGTCGTGTTAGTAAGTTAATCGTGAAGTTACAGCCATGCTTTAATTAATCCTATGTCATGAAGACGTATGGAGAATTGGAGGTGAGTGGTGAGCTTCATTTTCTAACCGCTTTATCCCCGGAGGAAACCCCCCGGGTGTGGAGTAGAGAAGAATGGTATGATTCTGCCGGGAATCGAAACCTGGTTCCTTGTTCGTGCCGCCCATAGCTTGGTCACTCTACAGAGCGAGAAATCCCGGTTCCCAATATGAACAGAATATTTGCGTTCCCGCGCAGGAACATCCGCGCTATTTTTGTCACGCGTCACTCCTAACTCTAGAAAAATAGCGTATATTTACTACCTCAATTGTTGCCATGATCCAGTTGTTTTAACGTCACATTGTTGTCGTGATCACATTATTGACAAAACTTCAATGCATTTCTTGCGGAGGAAGTAATAGGAAAATATGTTGTCTTGGACTCAAATCCATACACGTAACAGCAAAATTAACATTTTCCTGGGGTTATCTGCCGATTTTTCCTGCGATGCGCTGTTTCAGAGAGACATGACGAGAGAGACTGAGAGACGAACTTCGGGGAATGGGTATCTGTCTATTTCCTGTTGCTTCCACATTGGAGCAGAGGTATCCGTGAAACACTTCGTTTCACTTCAGTTTCTTCGTCCTAGAAAGTCGGTAGAACTCCTTGGACAGGGGATCAGCCCGACACACAGGACAACACAGACACAGAATAAACACACACAGATATGAGTGCCTTATACCGCTCGGCCACTGTGACCGGCGGATCATGTCTGTGCAGAGAATAGGAAACTGGTGCAGTTCAGAGAACATGCGGTAA